AATATTTACATTTACAAAATGTTTTTTGCAACTGCACCACTTTATAATCCAATTGATATTTGCCGGTGTGTTGTGTAATGTGATATATTTTAATGAACAATATAGTTAATAAAAATATATTTTTAATTACGACATATTTCTTAATCGAAGAATTGTTGAAACTCACATGAAGTTACTCCTTTAATTTCTTCAAAAAAACTTACGGATCACAAATTAATACATATCTTACTCAATTTTTACAATTTTTTTATGCATTATTTTTATATTTTGTTAAATATTATTTTGTCTCAAAATCGTAAGATAGAGAATTTAGAGAGAGCAACTCGTAACGTTACCTGACACATGATATTATTTTGTATTTTATTATACAAATGTTTTCATTAAAAATTACGTCAAACTTTTTTTTTTTGTTTTAAACTTAAAACCGTCTTGATATATGCTAAGATATCATGATGCTTTAAAATTGTAATGTGATCTACCTTTGGAAAACCTTGAGCGTAAATTTTATGTTTTTGTGATTTCTGCCACTGTGTGCATGCTTCTAAACTTCTTATATTTACAGTTCCATCCCCATCTCCAAAAATTAACTGAGGATAACCATCTATTGCTACACCTGGCTTATAATATAACCTGTACAGAAAGAATAAATTTTGAAGACTTATCAAAATGTGCCTATTCAAATTTAGATTGAAGAATTTCTACATTGCTTAAAAACTAATATACAAACTTTTCCACGGTGTCTACTTTGCTGCCATATAAACAATGTACTTCCACACCTGGTGCTGTAAAATCCAATTGATACTTCTCATTGTCTTTCCTGAATTCCCAAGCATTGGGGATACCTATATCTCTGTGAAGCAAATGTATTTGCTAATGAAAAAGGGAGAACATACAGTAACTATAATAATTATCTAAATAAAATACCGTACATAAAATACTGCTGTAAATTACTCAGGGTGTAATTTTTTTGTTCTGATTGCACCAAAACTTCAGTATCCTTCCAAAATAACTTTGAAGGTAACAACCATCCTAAACTTGGACTCGTTATCTGCTCGTTCTTTAATGTGCTTTCACTCAAAAAATATGCACCTAAATTGTCTCCTGTGTTGAATGCAATAAATTGGTAAAATAAATATAATTTAAAAGTTAAGAAATAATATTCGTCGTAAATTTTCTTTTTTTTGTCACACTACTTGAAATTCCTGATATTCCTTATCAGATAACTGGAGTCTAAAGTAGATAACATTGCTATGCTTATTAATGATTGATAAAGAGAATAATAATTTTAAATTATACTTAAGCTTACCAATGGCAAAGACTTTGACAGCCTTAATAGATCCTGCCCATACTGCACTAAGCGTAATAAAACTATTGATATATTTATCTTTCCATTTCTGACTCTGACGCTGCAACATTATGAGGGTCATGGGTCCGCCCATACTGTGGGCTACTAGTGTTACTGGCACATTATTATTCATTATGTATGTTTCTTCGACTAGAGTTTTCAGGTCAGTAAAGAATTCCTCATTCTCACCTGAAATTTAGTCTTTATTTCGGTCTAAATTTGCAGTATTATCCTATAAACTACACATTCCTAAGTATTGAAAATGTAAAATGTCTATTTGTGGGACACTTATTAGTTCTTCTTCTTTGTACATACTAGGTCCTTTTCTAAAATCATAAGGTGCGCCACGTAGTGACAGGTTTCTGACGTATCCTAACTCATTTACCAACATATTTCCGATATCTTTGAAGTATGAACCCGCTGAGGCTTTACTTGGGTCTATATATTCAACTACAAAAGGATCACCCCATCCTGGAATCTTTATATCCACTCCAGGCTGATTACTGGTAGTTCTCGTTACATTATCATAATTTAATTTTAAATTATCAATCTGTAATAAGTCAGACTTAAATATCAGGCTATTGAGAAGAAGTAGAAGCCAAGATAATATGCTGCAAATTGAAATGATCGTACAAAGCAATCTATCACGACAGGTACAAGCAATTCCATGTTCAACCAAAGGCTAAAATAATCGGAGGATGTTTTCTCACAGATATAATGCACCACCGATGGTTTGTTAATCTTTGCCTCGACCTGACTGCCGCCATCACCTGGAACTGTATTATTTTCCTTCATAAACAAGGTCTCCTTTTTCTCAATTGCATTTTTTACCAACAGTATTTTGATATCTTATATTTTCAGCTTCATATTTGCACAATATATTGAGAAAGGAAAGGGAGAGAGAAAGAAAATATGAAACTATTAGATATTATATTGCGTATAACTACAGTTATTTGCGGTCCTTAAAACGTACTCAGGAGTCAAATTAACGAGATGAGCAATGCCTTATCGCCACGATCCAAGTAACTCACCGAAAATAACGGGTGATCTCTGTTTATTCCTCGAGTGCCAGGATCTCGCAGTTTGCACGAGTAGCGAGAGAACGATCGTTGCATGTAGGAGCACCACCAGGCGCATTGTTCGTCGCGGCCACGATATTAGAACCGAGGCTGTACTTAAACACGTGTAAGAGTGTCACTTCGCAACGATGCAATAACAATTCGTCCCGAGCAAAACTGCCGGATGATCTCCCGGACGATGGTTTTATACTCGCGGCGGCGAGGACAAAAACATTCCCCGCGTCGTTCGACTCACGCTGCCGCAATGTTCACTGTTTTCGTACAGTCGACGTCGTATACGTTCGACGTTCTGAAATCAGCCGCTTTCGCAGCCGAAGTTTCGTCCGCCAACGCTCAGCGTCAAATATGCCTTCGCTCGCGTCATAGGAGAAACGATGCGCGATATTGCCATGTTTGTGATAAAATCAAGTTTAATTTTCAACATGATCCGTCAGCTGAGTCCATGAAATCAATTCACGACGCGGAGGCACGCGCGTTTAAAGAGCGCCCAACCTCGGACGAGAGGCATCGGTGACGTCGAGTGTACAGCGTGCAACGTAATCAGCTGATCGGGTACGCACGCGCCGTCCGAGCGTCACGACGGCGGAGGGGTAATACACGCCATCGGCAGTGGCCAATCGAAGTGACGAATGTGGGGTTATAAAAAATATCATCGCGTCTCCGTCGGCGACTTTCGTAAGCCTCACGTCCTGCCGTTTTTATGCGTTTGACAAACGTTCGCTGAGTGGACCGAGTTAGATCGCCGATAAGCGTGCGCGTTATTGTTTTTTTCCTTTGTCTACTCGCACGAGATAAACACTCGGGCCCACATTCTGAGCTCTCTTTCATCGATAACAGTACCTTAAATGTGGCTTAGCTAACCGGGTGGTGTCTGAGCCGTTTTCAGAGGCACATTTATCGATGAAAGAGAATTCAGAATATGGGCTTCGGTGAATACAAATACGAACTTCGTCATTGTGTACTGTATCGTACATGTTCGTTCTTTATTAACCGGTGCGAGGAGAGAAGGGGAAGGGGGGGGGGAGATTAAAAGGCTTCGATTCGGAAGCGTAAATCACTGGCCACACTCGGCGGAATGTTTATTTTGCAACTGTTGAAGGTTTTCTGAGCCGGGATTGGATTGTTCTCTTCCAGGTCCAAAGAAACAATCCAACTTAATTAACGTTCTGTGTTTCTCTTTAAAGGCGTCTTTCAAACTGAAATGCCTCGACGGAGAATCGCTTTTTCGAACGTCACCTAAAGCCACCTTAGGCATGAAATTTCTCTCGGTCCCTTTTTCTCTTTCTTTCCCTTTTTAATCGTTAAAAAGAGACCGACCTGGAACGAACGACGGGTCGGTTTGTAGCGTCGCGGTGTATCGGCCGCGGACTAACAACGCGCTCGATCTCGCGGAGACGCGAGAACGCTCGATGGTTGGAAACGGGGTTGTTGGATCAATCGACGGTGCTTAGCTCCGTCTGTTACCGTCGCGGAAACACGGGAGCGTCAGCGGACGGGGACGGTGGAGACGTCGCGTGCACCCGTTCGCGAGTTCCATTTGCGGCGTAGAAATCGGAGTGGTGTAACGAGGGCCCCTCCGTTGCAGGACATTGTCGTGAGAATGGCCGACATCAAGCAGGAGCATAAGGGCGAGGACGTGGATAATTACGGGATGGGCAACAGCACCGATCCGAAAAACATGCAGGAGTTGACGCAATACGTGAGTCTGCGATTTCTTCTTCTTCTGCTCTCTGTTCCTTCTTTTCTTTTCTATTCGAAGCGCGTGTGTCAAACGCCGACGACGCGCTCGGGAATGACAGCTCTCCGGTGTGACCTTCTCGACTTGCAGGTGCAAACGCTGCTGCAGAATATGCAGGACAAGTTTCAAACGATGTCCGACCAGATCATAGGGAGAAATATCCTTTTTGGTAGCTAGCATAACCTAAAAGACACATACGATAATGCGTGTGGTGTTAATTGCGATGTGACAGGTCGAGGAACATCCGTGTAGGTATTCCCCGATCTGTAGAAAGTGCAACTGACGCAGTGTGCTTGCCACACGTTCACTGACGTGTGTCAGTGGTATCTGGTGTGTAACCGCAAGCTTGATTGATCATTGGATCCTTAATAAAAGATACTAGATGAGATGGGAAGCAGAATAGACGATCTGGAGAAGAATATCGCGGACCTAATGACGCAAGCAGGAGTCGAAGGTGGTGATAAATAAGCTCATCTTTCTTTCGAAATGTTAAACGCAAACAAGTGACTACCCATCCGAAGTATTTGAGGTATCCATACGTCATACTGTCTCATGAGACAAATATTTATATGAACACAGTGCGAAGGGGAGAAAGAGAGGGAGAGAGATACGCGGATGTTTTTGTTACAATATAAATAAACTTACACTTTTTTACGTACATGTACATAAGTGTATTTTGATATTATTTCATATATAATATTTATCACAGAGTGCTAATTGAAGTATGAAATAAGTTGCATCAGCGATTACATCAGTGATGATTGCGCAGTTTCAATGGAACGTAAGTTGTTTCTCAGTACCGCCGTTGACGTAAAAACAGCCATAATATCCTCTTCTTGTAACAGAATATCTCACCGCGTCCGATCTTGCTCAAAATAGTTTTGTGCATCTGTCAATACCTAAATCGATATATACATATGCACGCGCAAAGCAATTGTATGTTCTTCAAATATGAGGCAGGTGTACGGTGAGGAAGTGTACGAAAATTCACTTCGTCTGATTCAGTTTAGAAGGCACGCGATATATAATTGACGATATTAAGGATTTTTTATATGTGGGAATCGCTGGGACGGGTTTGATTATGAAGCGTTTCTTCACTTTACGTCCAAGATGTCCCGATACCGGTCTCTAGAAGGATAGGAAGGCAAGAAATTAAAGGAGCGGTTAAGGTTACATAGATTTATGCCTAGTTCTCACAGGCTTGTCCCGAATCGACTCTGATTCCGTTTCCTCTGTACTGTCGGGGTATTCTTCCACCTGGACCGATTCCGACGAATTTGTGAGCCCCGTTCGTGTCGAATCCTGGAGGAATTCATCACAGTAATATTGAAAAAAAAAAGAGTATAATGTAGCAAATAAGATTGGATAACAGTTTCCGAGATATTAATAAAAGAGGCGAGTAAGAGCCGGTAGTACAGAAAGAGTTATGATAATCAACAAGTTTTAATAAATTAATGATTACAATTACAAGATTTGTAATTGTTACACTGAAGAGGGCCCGAATTAAGGATGAAAACGTATGTAACCATTGATTTATTAAATATTATGTTGTCGTTGTTTAGTGTAACTTTGGCTGTATCAACGGCGTTGGCTCTCACTTGCCTTTCTTATTATAGAATAATTACTTGAAAAGAATTACTTGAAAAGTTTCAAGACTCGAATCAGAGATTCGAACAGTCTCTGATAACTTACAGCTGACTCGGTTCCTCGACCAGCAAATTTTTGCGACGCCACAGGGGAAGGTACGAGTCTGCTGGCCAAGTTTGTTAACGAGTAGGCTTGTCGAAACGATGTTCTGCCCACTGTGTCCAATCTTGCGACGGAGTCGGAAACGCGCATCGTCTCTCTGAATTCCTGTAGAACGATATGATCGAAACAGTTTTTCTCTTTCACTTGGAAGAGGCGATTGAAATTCACGCAATATTAAGTTTGCTTATAGCGAGAGAGTTATTTATAGAGACATTGAATCGCACGATAAGGTATCAATCTGAAGTGGATTTACCCCATTCATGTTTCCTCTCGTGACTCGAAAGTCCTGCACGTCAAAGAATAAACAATGTTGACTGCATTTGCACGGATATATAATAAAGTTAAACGGGGCACCACTTATCTCGAGTGGTGATTACGTGGGAGGATTAAAACAGCACAAAGAGAGAATCCACAGATTACCTGTCGTAAGGTCATTAATTTCGTGAGTCTAGGGATGTTTTGACACTGCGGAAGTATCGATATCATTAGTGATGCCGATAGCGGAACGAAAATATCGATACCGATATTGACATTGAAATGTGAAAAAAACTGAAAATCGAGACCAGTATTATATCAGTAGTATCATAACATCCCTAGTTATAATTTTACGAGGATGTCCCGATGTGTACGAGAGAAAAGTATGAAAATCGCGGATATCTCACCTCGAGATCTTTAGTCTCATCGATAGCCGCGACGTCCTGGTACGCTTTAGTCAACAGCTCGAGCGCCTTCGTGTGGAAGCTCAGCTCCACGGTGACGAAGTCCAGCAATACGGACTTCAGGTCGTGCAGTTTTCGTCGCTCGAACGAGTCGATCTGCTCCTCCAGTCCCTTCACTACCCGGGTCACCTCGACGGACGCTTTCATGAGCTCCGACTCGGCTTGCGACTAGTATTCTTCCGTGGCTAAGGATTCCCTTTTCTCCCATATTTTCACGAAGAAACCGGCCGGAAAGAAACGAGCCACGGTCGTTTCTTACGATTCAAACTGGGCTTCGTCGACGACGAGCTTCGACTATAAGGATACTATCATTTGCCGGTTCCTCGGGTTCCTCTCCCGTACCTTATCCAAGTGTCTCCGTCTCGCGAGTTCCCTGTCGCGCGCCGAGAAGGTGTTCTTGACGTCGTCGCGGGCGTGCTTGCAAATCGTCGCGTATTGCGACAGGGGAGCGACCACTTTGGCGTCCAGTCTTTGCACTTCCGCATCTCTGCGGCAAAGTGACGATTCGAGGATCGAGAACGTGGAAGCAACGAGGAAAGTATAACACACAATATGAGAGAGTGACACGTGTGATCGATTTCCTCACCTGTAATCACCGATAACCGATAACGTCGCCGAGAAGTTGATGAGCCCGGTGCTCAAGGATCGATTCACCGTCTCTGAGTCGGCGTAGGTATGTATTATTTTGGCCAGCTCGTCGCCTTTATCGCGTAACCTGAAGGGGAAACGAGTGTCTAGCGAGTGGAACCCATCGGAGCGACCGAGATAATGAAAGCTTCGTGCGTGCTGTCGCGCCGACGAAAATAATCGATACCCACTCCCGCTCGCAAGCACCCGCCTGCCTATATTTCCTCGTATCTGCGGGAACGCGATAAGGATTTTGAAGGAACTTTCCCGAGGACAGAAGTCCAAACACACGGACGGGAGGTCCGGGGTAATTCGGAAGTGACGTTATTCGGCAACTAAAATCGATTCGACCCTCGTGAAAAGTTCCAGGTGGGAAAATGGTTGTGAGCGGTAGTGTGTGCGGTTTGATTCGTCGTCGTCTGGCGGAGGAACGCACCTGGCCGATTTCCTGGTGAACGCCGCGAATGTCGTGCACAATTCGGCGAAGTGCTTCTCCACGGCCGTAATGCGGTCCTGCACGAACTTGGCCTCCTGCTCGCTAGAAGAAACAAACGAGAACTCGTTTGAACAACGCGTTCCTTCGCAAACGTGCCGTCAGATAGAAACGGATCGTGAAACAGAAACCGGGTAGATTTGCGTAGACTTCGACTCACCACACGCTGCTCTGCGAGCGTATCCGAAGCATTTCCTCTTCTCACTCTTCCTCCGAGTATTCCGTGAAACGGCTCGACGACGCGTCTCTCTCGCTAGGAACAATTTCGATCGCCCGTTCTCCCGCACGCGGACAGTGACAGTTGTCTACCTACTGACAGGTGGTGGTGAACCGCTGCAGGTGAAGTTGCGTCGTGTTTTCTATACTCCCTTCGGGCTAACTGTGCGGGGGATCGAAGCGCCTGACTTCCGATTACGCCGTTCAGCGTTTTTCGAGATGCTACACAGTTCTGCATGTATTTCTACATATTTTTCTTATCTTCTTTTCACTGGTAGATTTTCAGAAATGACGCTTTGTGTGACTTTCGTTATAATAATATAATATTTACAAGTATATACAAATTACGAACTTTATTCGCGTACGAGATCCTTTCGCGCGAAGATAAGTCAGTTGACATTTATTTAGAGCGGATTTATATTACATTGTTGAGGTCAGTTCGTAGTTTTTATTACAGCGAAGGAATGTCCCGCGCCAGAACCGACGAGGACGCCGATGGAGTCGCGTGGAAGCGGTAGACGTTCCGGCAACAGAACGTCCTTCGTGTTCCCGTTGCCGCAGTTGCCGTGCTCGTTCCAGCCCCAGCAAAATACCGTCCCGTCTTCTGTCAAGACATTAAATCCGGCATATTTGATTATACCTCTCGTACTTCCCGACGGAGTGAATTGCAAGCGGTACTCGTGCGTATCTATCGTGCTGGACAATTTACCGGCTAAGGCAACGTTGTGCTCCGATCCGACCGAAAGCTGAACGATTCCCGGGAGATTCTCGACACGTTGCATCGTCCAGAAATCGCATCCCTCCTGTGATTTTCCGCGGCCTAACTGACCATAACTGTTTCTTCCCCACGAATAAACGGCGCCGTCTGAAATACGCAGTGTGAGAGTTTTGAATCGCAATAAATGATCCGATCGTGTACACACACAGCGAGAACAGCAGATCCCAACTCTATTTTTATAACCAAGCCTTAAAATATGTTTAAAAGCAAAGTCTGCTCATAATGAATAGAAGAATACCACTCAAGATATTCGTGTGGCTCCACCCTGCGTGGATTTGAAACGGCGCACCGAGTCGTGAGTCGTATAGCACGGAACGATGCGCGGGACAAATTCGCGCGCATACCCGAGGGTCGAGTCCCGCCTGCCCGTGCTTGTTGTCGCCGAAGAAATACGTGGTATACGCGCCTCCACGCTGCGTCGTGACCACAGTGTGATGCTCGCCACATGCAACATCTTCCATGCCTGTCAATCCTGGAACTGATCGATCCTATTTTAATTAAAATATAACATGCAAGGTTTCATAATATCCCAAGAAAAAATCTTCCATATATAATAATTACATATACATATGATTATACATACATGTATAAGGCGTCATATAAAGAAAATATGTTCGTATACAAAAATATATAATTATATGTGAAGTGATGTATGTATGTATGTACGTATATGTATGTAGCTATATATTTATATATATAAATATATTCTATTTATAATTGTATATGAGAAATCCCCTCTCCCCCGGGACAATACGTCAGATTTCTTCGTGCCATTTATTTTTTCAACTAAAATGTAAGACGTAACATTTTGTAAAAACAGCACGTAACGGATCTTCTCACGTCGCTTATTTTTTCTAGAGGACAGAAACGATGCGACGGTTTGTTATACCTGCGGTGAAACAATGTCGAGCGTCACGAGACTGTCCACCCTCCGCACCAGTAAGACCCAATTGTCCTTTGCTGTTCGCCCCGCATACCAGAACGTTACCATTATCCGTCAGTACAGCAGTATGCCGCAAACCCATGGAAATACGTTTGACCTTTTCTGACCGGACGGTACGCATGGGCGACGAGGTTGACGAATGAATCGACGGGTTGTCGCCCAGCTGTCCGTAGCGATTAGAGCCCCAGAGGTACAGGTCGCCGTTCTTCGTCAACGCGGCGGAACTGTCCCATCCGCAGCATACGTCAACCACCGTCTCATCGCCGAAGGAAAGCCTCCGGAACGTTAGAACGTTCGTTTGCTCCGAACCCGAGACTCCAGTTTGCCCTTTGTCATTCCATCCGCAGGAGTAAACGCAACCATCCGCGTCCAATATCAGCGTGTGTCCGCCACCACCGACAATTTTTCTCACGGATTCCGGCCTGAGACCGCATTCGGATAAATTGATCTCTTCAGGTAAGACGCATTCCTCGAATATCGTATCTTGTCCCAGTTGACCGTGCGAGTTTGCACCCTGTGAAAGGTCTCCGATCAGATTCTTGGTCTGTGCTTCGAGTGTTTAAATTCTTCAAATTTTCCGCCATTTTGGACGGAATGTTTCATCCGGCAAACTGATTAGCGCTAACGAGTTCATTTTACCTAACAAGATAAAACGACGCGTTAGCGCGCTGATAGCGCGCTCTCCGAACGCGGCCAGGGTGTACGTGATATGTATGATTTTACTTCTCGCATTTTCGAATTATTAAACTAATTCGGAGTGTGCGTGTTAGTGTTAATCCAGTAAACATGATTCTTTACGGGAATATTAATATAAAAATATCAGTTAAAAGCGGGAGAGCATTTTCCTCGAGAAAGTCGATATTTCATATAGATCGAAGAATTAATATATTTTATCTCCCACAAGATAGAATCCTTGAAGGATCGGTTTTTTTATAAAAATAATAAGAAATAATTTACAGTTATTACAGTAGAGTTTTACAGTTAAATTTCCGTCTCCCTCTTTCCGTTGAGAGTCAATCCGTTTCAAATTCGTCGGTAAGAATTCGCCATTAAAAGTAGAATCTTGAAAGATATGCCACTAAACAATGGCGTCGTTTACATTAGGTACGTAGTTGTTCAATTTTTTTCATGCAAGAGCTTTATGCTGTTACGCACACTCGCCTAGAGAGGCCTTCAGTGTTGACCAATGCGGCGGAATCACGTGGGCGTCTGAATCACCCCATGAGTCACGATCTGTTTGTTCCGTGATACACGGTCAACGTGTGCAGACAAGTTTTTCACATGCGACGTGCTCGTGACGGGAATAACTGATTTTTGTAAAAAATTCACGAATTTATTTTCTATGTAATCGTCTTACCCACGAGATCAGCTTATACGTAGACATCGTCGAATGACGTAATTGCGTGTCTTCGTTCTTACAATGCGTACAGAACAGCGATTATTTCGCATTCATAATCCGCACTTCGTCGTGTCCAGGTGGCGTGCGACACTATTAACATACCTAACCTAACATAACGTAGCCTAACCTCACCTTTCGTCGTCGAGGTGCGTGATTTGTTGAAATATTTTCCTTCGATCCACGGTACGTTACACTTTCCGCACCTAAATGTGAAACGAGTATATATCAGGGCGTTGTACCAGGAAAGAGAAGGAAAAGGAAAGTTGGAGCAAAGTGCAGTAAGTACAACTGGAATGATTGATCTATTGTAAATAACAAATGCCGGAGCATCACGAATAGTTCGTGTTGTGTGCAGAAGTAATAATTAAATTCAATATTCCTGAGACGTGTTATTGCTACAGATATCGTTGCTTTCTCGTAAACGATATGACAGAGAAACTATGAAGATGGAAGAGTCTGGGAAGTTCGATATTAAAGTTGTTAAAACTGATCTCTTGCACGCGATAAACGAGTGCTCACAGCGTGGTTTACGGTATACTACCAAGTGGTACGTGAAATTCTGCTGAAATCTGTAGAAATATATTTCTTTCGTATGCATAATCTCTCTCAAAACTATGTGTTTATATTTGTTATAGGTTAGCTGAATTGAATTACTCCTTGAAAAATGTCAAGTTGGACTTGCACGATCTGACTACAGACATCAAGTCACTGGAAATAAACGAAGAAGAAGATACGTACACATTAGCTAAAACGTACTTCGACTTGAAGGAATATGATAGAGCTGCATACTTTACAAAGGACTGTACAACCCCAAAAGTTAGATTTTTACATCTGTATTCGCGTTATTTGTCTGGCGAGAAGAAAAAGATAGATGACATGACGGATGTGCCACCAGATCCTATGAAAAATGACAGTCTAAAGTTGCTCTGTGCCGACCTGAGGAAAGATCATTCGGCCTCCAAGCTGGATGGCTATAGTTTATATCTCTTCGGTGTAACCTTGAAGAAACTGCAACTTACCAAAGAGGCTAACGATGTTTTAGTAGAATCTATACACAAGGAGCCTATGCATTGGGGCACATGGTTAGAACTGGCCGCCTTGATTACAGACAGGGAAAAACTCGAGAATTTGTGCCTGCCGAATCATTGGATGAAGTTCTTTTTTATGGCCCACATGTACTTAGAACTGCAACTCCTAGATGCAGGTTTAGCATTGTATTATGAACTGCAATCAATGGGCTTTCAGAAGAACTGTTATGTGCTAGCTCAAACTGCAATAGCAGTGCATTATAGGAGAGGTACGTTTTGCATACCTATACTTTATTTTTATTTCGATCCCATTTGCTAAATCCCAACAAGTTCTCATTTACAATCTTGTTACATCCTCGACCCTCTATTTTTCAATATTTCCAGCACTGATTTTTCATTATTACCTGAATGCGCACTTCTATATGTATTTTGATGACATTCTATTGAAATCTTTCAGTCTCGAAGACACTGAACAAGCTTATGAATACTTAAATCACGATCTCTCTCTAATTGCTAGTTGGGCAGGTCAAAATAACCTATTTCTCAACTCTTCCATATCCTTACTATCCCGTTTCCAACCTTCTATCCATTATTTTTACTCCTATCCCAAGATATGCAAATCTTCGGTCTACATGTTGACTCTTTATAGTCCTTTTCCCATCATATTAATATAAAATCCTAACTTTTTGATTACACAGATGTCTATATTCCTTACCTTAAAATTTTCCGTCTTAATCGAATATAATATATTCAAAATATCTGCCTCCGATATATATACATAAATTTGACCACATCTCCTCATATTTTTCGAAATCTGGATGTCTGAAGATTCGTCACCGTTACATATTTCAACTATGCTCTTGTCTTTTGTATCCTGCATGATAGCACGCGATAAGAAAAGTACTACTAATAATAATAATTTAATATTTAAAATAAACATTCTTTTATTCACTATATATGTTTGTATTTTGCAGTATATAGGTTATTTAATTGTAAGTATTACATGTTACCAAAGTATTCTCTCCCTAATTCAGATGTTGAGAAAGCAATAGAAACTTTTAAAAAGATAATAGAGGAGGATCCGTATTGCCTCGACAATATGGATACATACTCGAATTTACTTTATGTAAAAGAGATGAAGGTTGAATTAGCATATTTGGCGCACAGAGCCACAGAGATTGATAAGTACAGATTGGAGACTTGCTGTATAGTAGGTGAGTTAATTAATTGCGTCTTTTTTTCGGAAAAATAGGTAGAATATAATTTACGAGGCAAAGCAATATATTCATCTATCATTTTCTTTTTGCAGGAAATTATTACAGTTTAAGAGCTGATCATCAAAAAGCAGTGATGTATTTTCACAGGGCACTGAAAATGAATCCGCAGTATCTATCGGCTTGGACGTTATTAGGCCACGAATTTATGGAAATGAAAAATACCAACGGTGCTATACACAGTTATAGACAGGCAATCGGTAAGATTTTCGAGAATTTTATCTCTCGCATCATTAACAATAATGATCATATTAGGGAACTAAATGAGAACGATAGAATGGCAGGTAAGAAGACTTGGGGATTGATAGAAAGAGTGTGTAAGAATTAGTTATTAGGTACAAAAGACTGTGATGAATAGGATAGAAACAATATGAAAAGCAATGTTTGTGCACAGTGATATTTATACATTGAATTTAACTAGTCAAATAGTTTTAAGGTATGAATGGATGAGTGTTAAGGTAAATATTGCAAACCAAGTCTCCCCTTGGCATTAAGTTGAAGTAAATAAATATCTATACATTAATATGGTAACATGTTCTCTATTGATATTTGCCGCACGACTGGCAGAGGTGAACAGGCGGGATTATAGAGCGTGGTACGGCTTGGGTCAGACATACGAGATCTTGAAAATGCCGTTCTACGGGCTCTACTATTACAAGCAAGCTCAGCTCTTGAGACCTCACGACAGCAGAATGGTCTTGGCCTTGGGTGAGGCGTACGAGAAGCAGGATAAGATACAAGACGCGCTCAAGTGTTACTACAAGGCATACAACGTGGGCGACATAGAAGGCCTGGCACTGTTGAAGTTAGCGACGTATGTAACGACGATTAATTTCTATTCACTTTTTCCGCTCGACAGTACATTGATGCCGGTCCATTGTACAATTAACATCTCTTTTCATCACCGCCGCGATCTCCGTTAATCGCAGACTGTATGAGAAATTGGGGGAACACGACCACGCGGCCACGGCTTACACGGACTTCGTAATGGACGAGTACCGGAACGTCGAGAGGAAGGAGCTGAGCCACGCGTTCATATACCTCACGCAGTATCACTTGAAGAGAGAGCAATTGGACCAGGCTAATCATTACGCGCAGAAGTGTCTTCAGTTCGACGAGACGAAGGAGGAGGCGAAGGTGCTGTTGAGAACGATCGCCGAGAAGCGAGCCAAAGTAGAGGAAACGTCCATGGTGGTAAGTGGAGGTGTCTTTCTGCGGCGATCTCTTCGGGCGAATCGCGACTCGATCGCTCTGTGTGTTCCAGGTGGACGACATGAACGAGACCGATCCCGTGATCGAGCAAACGGCGCGCACGGACGCGATATCTGGCAGCCAACTGTCGCCGATGAATCTCTCGTTCACACCCACCCCGTAAATAAAGTGATACCTCTCCCACATGCGCAGTCTCTACTTCGTCCTCTGCCTCGACGTGTAATTTCCCCATATGCAAATACAGAAGTATTCGATATTTTCGTACGCACCACTTGTGTGTACTTTTTCTACGGCAAATCTTTCTCCCGAGAGAGGCAGAACGCGAGACAAGTGCGGTAACCATCGCTTTGTGATCGGCCGCAGGTATCGCCGACGACGCGATTTCGCTCCTGACTCTCTGTAGTAAAATTCAAAGTTCTCCCGGAGCACAAAATCCGATAATTGGATACGAAACCGAGATTAGAGCACGTCGAGCAGCGAGAAAACCGCTTTGAAAACCGCTTCACTTCTCCAGCCGACAATCCGGGACCGTTTCCTTTTCCCCCCGCACAATCGACGACGTGCGCTGACGCCACCGGAGCGACGTCGGATGACAGTAATAAGGGAGAAAGAGCCGGATAAGGAGAAAACGTGCATACGCTAGAGGGGCGAGGGGCGTGGACAGATAAAGCGGTTGACCCTCGCCCTCCTCAATGACCTGCCGAGATATCGTTCCACTAAATCTACTGACGTTCTCGCAGTCGAACGCCATAGCTCGCACGGCCGTATCCATGCCTCTCGTTCATCATTGAGCTATCGGCGGCCGGGTAGAAAAAGGGACCAGTGCAAGTTTTACGAGAGTGCGACACTTAACACCGGCAGGGGGATCTCGACAAATCGGACCGTAGAATTTGCGATACATTGATAAACGTCGAGAAGGTGAACGGTGTTTCCGACGGAGGACTTCCGGGAAAGGGGGGAACTTGATTGAAAAGAATGCGAAGGATGAAGGAATCTCTGAACATGTCATCGAATTAACAATATTCAAACCGGGCCAGCAAGACAAACGTAAATTCAAGAAGACCTTCGAATATCGAGGAACTTTAATGCGTTTCGCTCCTTAACATTCAGCCCTTTCGTTTAACGTGCAATAGTGATCTTGGCCTTTATTGGTCCGGTTTAAGTATTGTTATTCTGATCGCACGCCTCAGAAGTCTTCCTTCCACTGTTTTCCGAGTCGACGCCGCGAATTAAAATTCGCGTAACGGTGACGCCCGTGAAATCGCGATATTAAAGCGGCAACTGTTGCAGTGAGAAGCGCAACTGTTGAAACGACGATACGTTCAGTCGGTGTGCCTGGAAGGAAGGGCTGGGGCGACGACGTTACCCGAGTTGCGAGTTGTGTTCTGGCTCGGAAATGCGAGTGTACGCGTTCGCCTTGGTAGTGGTGTGCTGCTTCCTGTGTCCCTTGTACGCGGCCGGCGGTCCAAAACCGGACGATGCCACGTCGTCTTCGATAGGTATCGCGATGTGATACGGGCGATTGGGTGAAGGCTGGCTCTATTTTCTCCGTGAATTGCTCAAATAGGATTCAATCGGATTAAATGCGAAGTGTCGAAGCGGCGGCAACTTTCCTCACTGCACTTCCGGCAGATACTGTTTCTACACGCTCGGTCGATTTGCATGTATCGTATAAACGATGGATCCTGTTTGCTCGGTTGCGATTTAAAAATCCGTTTGCAAAATCGAATCGTCGGAAGCAAGTGATGGCGATGCGTTTGTCACGCCGTCGTTTGAATTTGATTTTTAATCGCTGTCCGTTGCGTTGTTATTGCCGCGATAAACGATTTCATTTTCATTGCGCAATATATAACTCAAAGTGCAGTCGTAGATCCCGCGTAATATTAGCAAAGAGAGTGCTAGAAGAAAGACAGAGAGAGAGAGAGAGAGAGAGAGAGAGAATCACAAATCGCTGCCTGGCGTTTCTCGAAATCCTAATAACTATTTAACGATCCTTCGGTTGATATAGATTAATTAAATTATATTAATCAAACTGATCTATATTAAATTAAGTGACGATTTTTTCTAGACAAAAGCAAGGCGGCTCAGATGGCGGCAGGCGAGCAACGGCTCGGGGATCAAATTCGAGCGATCCTGAAACATTATCAGCAAGTTGATCCGGTCGGGCTGCCAGGCGCGCCGATACCTGATCCGATGCCGGTTCCGGATATGAAACACTCCTTCTCCGTATATACGATGAATTTCAAGCAGACTAAGGTCTTGGGCTTGTCCAAGTTCCGCATCGAACACGTAGAATCGGAACTAGCGCGTATGCAGGTAAATGAAATGAATAATTAATATTGAAAGAGAGAGAGAGAGAGAGAGAGAGAGAATGAAAGAAAAAGAGATAAAATTGCTTTGAAAGGCGTTTGGATTTATCACGGAGGCGTGTGCGCGCTCGTCTTAACGTGACAAGCCGCGTCGTATTTCATGCGGACGTAGGAGAAAGATGATAAATGACGACGCCGCAATGTTGTGCGGACAAGCGAGCTTGCGTAGAGCACGTGCGGCCTGACTTAAAGAAAAAGGAGTCGAATTTGTCGAATAATCATTATTATTAGTATTTAGTATTATTAATATTTAGCATATATTATTATTTTAGTATTTAGTATTATTAATATTTTTACTATTACTTAGTATCATCAGTACATCATTATTGTTATCATTAAATATTTCCAATGAGCGAGAAACCACTAACACGCTATTACAATGACATTTTCCTAACATGTAACATTTTCAAATATGTAATTCTTGATATTATAAAAAACGTCATTCTCAACAATATTTGATCCAAACGTTAAAAATAATATTTCTACATTAAAATTTTAGCATTTAGGAAAATTATATTATCAAGTATAGCAGTTTAAAAATATTTATAAGATATCAAAATGTTTATAAAATCCACGTAGAATCAATGTTTCAAAAGATTGATTTAATGTTGTCTTGCTTACTGGGTTTCATAGGTTCATACCACTCTTGGTTATTAAATTCATTTGTTAAATTAAACTAATTTGTTAATTTAACTTACGTACATTTGTTCGCCGTTTGTGTCCGCGGCGGTTGACCCTTTGCTTGTTTATCTCGCAAATGTAAAAGCAAGCGTATTTTTGAGGTCTCCGTCTCAGTGAGAATCGACATTCTGGACATTCGCGGATTATACACGCTGACATCGTGGTTCACGAAATCGGAAGGCGATTTCACGGTGAAGCTGACCGACGTGAGTGTCCAAGGTATCGCCAGGTTGGAAGTCGCCACTGACGGTAAACTGCAGGCCCAAAACATCGACATGGACCTAACGTTCGACAAGATCGACATGGACTTTAAGAATCTGGGATTCCTCGGCTCGGTCTTTCAGGGACTCATCAATTCGGTCGGCACCTTTATGTTCGACAGCGTCAAACCGTTCATATTGAAGGAAGTCAACACAAACGTGAGGTACGAAGGATGCAGGTCCTAATTGAAAATATCTCGAACGGGAGGAGATATTTAGATACCCAAGCATTTTGCATAAAAATTGCGCGTTTAAAAATTGTGCTAAGAAAAGAATGCGAATTTTAATTATTTTATTCGTATCCAGGCGTTTGTTTCTACTTGATATACCTCCTGACGACGAGGGATATGTTTTCAGGGGCGAGGTAAACAAGCAGATCTCGCAATTGCCGCAATATTTCCCGAATTCGATCTCACCGTTCGACATGGCGGTCGCGGAAGCTCGCAAGCAGGTCCGTCAGATGGGCTACGATCCCTACAGGGTGCCGGATTACACCCAGAGCGCCGGGATATTCACCGTGACGTCGTCGCACACTTGGGTCACCGGTCTGGCCAGTTTCTATCGCATGGGAAACATCACGATCACCATGGAGAAGGGAAACGTGAGTGACTGTTTGGATGCCGGCCAGAGCGGCTGCTCGGGGTCGGCAATGAGTAGCCGACGAGCGTAGAACTTACTTAGATCCGTGTCGGTAATTCGTAAACACGACGCGTGTTAGCGATATGCAAAGCAACGGCATTATCATAATTGCGACGATCACGAGTTGCGTAACGTTACGTAATCTCGTCGCCGTGCGATCGTCGATGCAACGATCCGAACGCGGCGAACCCAGCCGTCGGTTTTGGGGTTTCGCGCGTGGGCGACTTATGTTTACTACGTGCCTTATACGCAGGTCTACGCGCTACTGGACATCGGTACCCAGGAGCTCGAGGGCAAGACACACTGGGAGCTGAGCGTGATCGGCGGAATCATGTCGCGGGCCGGCAAGGTGTCCTTCACCGTCCAATATTTCCGCGTGCAGGTGAAGCTGGGCCAGCCGTTGGACACGCGGAAGCGCGCCTCCCTGGAGGAGCTGGAGTTCGAGCTGGGCAACATCCAGGCGAGAATCCACGGCACCGGCACGTTAGACTATCTCGTGGAAGCCAGCATTAATATACTGCCGAACCTTTTAAGGTCCGTAATGGCCGTGCCCGTGGCCTTCCCGTAATATGCGTCTCGCGTGCCGATCTCAAGGCCGTCCCCGTAATTGGCGCTTTCGTTCTAATCGCCGATTAATTAGACCGCCAATCGGGAACGGTGGTGTGTGAGCGCGATTAATCTCGCATTGTCGATGATCCGTCGATGCGAGTCTCGTGAGTCTCGAAATGTAGATTAATGAGACGGCGGAGTTGACGGATCGTGAATTTCAGATTACGTCGAGATATTTCTGACGTCTCTTACGATATTTGCACGAACTTTTTTCTCGCACGATGATGTGCCTCTGTGACGCGAGATGCTTTGTGGAGAAGCGAGTCCGGGAGCGAGTCTAGAAGCTTCCGGAAATTTGTTATTTCAAGCTTCTGTTATCTCCTTTACCTTTTTTATTTCTCATTTACGTATGTAGATATCAGATTATGGACGCCATCGAGGGGCCAGTGAAGAGACACATACAGGAGAAACTGGACAGTGTGGATGTGGAGAAATTGATCCATGACAAAATACCGGAGATAGAGGAGCAAGCCAGGTGGATACAAGGTATAGTGCCCGTAGAGGAGACGGTCTTGGAGGAGACGTCGACATCGCAGGATCCAGACAGTCAGGGGCCTTTCTCCGAGAGCGAGGAGAATCGAGGACCATCGTAAGAAACGTAATACACGTACACTGAACTCTTTTTTTAACTTAAATCACCTTTATGGAGAAAGAAAGAAAGAAAGCGCGTTACTAGGAATATATATTACGATTTTAAGCGACGATAGATCTGCGCCACAGATATCAGTACTACAGTTGCGTCCTTCGTAAGNAGAGAGAGAGAGAGAGAGAGAGAGAGAGAGAGAGAGAGAGAGAGAGTTTGCGAAGATTGTATGAACAAAGATGAATGTTTTGAGATAAAATCACATTTTTATTGAGAAAGGAATATCATTAGCGAAATATACATTGTACTATGTCAATTGTATATTACATTATGTAAGCTGAGTATAATAAAACTACGAGTTTGTAAAAAGCGGATAGAACTACAGAATATCGAAGTGCGAGGATCGTCGCGAGTGAAAAATATCATCCCATGACACCGGTTGCGGAATAGGCACTTGACCGTGTCGACGTTGAACACAATCGTAATTGTCGCGTATGAAACGCGACATGCAACACTTAGGTTGGAAAGTAACAGAAGCAGGCGTTACTCCTCGGCTAACAGATGTGAGTAATCAGTATGAAATTAACACCTATACACGTCCAAACTCGATGTTACCCGCTCGTTCCTCATTAAAAACAAGGTGTTGCATAAAAGAACCTAATCGATATAAAATACTGACGACTCCCTGAATTCGACCGAACTATACACCTAATAACAAGTATTAACACGAAACAATTGCGTAACGATTAATAAATTAACAAATTAAACGGATTGTTACGTAAGAGAGCGACAAGCTCCACGGAACCGTTCGCAACGACGGATTGTTATATTTCAGCAGCGGATCGCGGTGATGTAAACGGATTCGAAACTGGCGGTCTCTAAACAGCTCGAGAGTGACGTAACGTTTAACAATGCCCGGTGACGGATTTCGCAACGAAGCTGTTTCCTTTTTGTGATCAACCTGTTGGTCATAATAATCGATACCGATACTCGCTCAATGATTAGAAATAATAATTGATAACAATTGCAGATCATTGCCGATAGGCGTATATGTATATATATATGTGCGTGTTTGTAATTATCCGCAATTACAACTAATTGCGCTGCGTGTCACAGTCGATCAGACGCTCGAGAGCTGTCTGACGCACAGTTACTATTGTCGTGATTTTAGCGAGCCGATGTGCGCATTAGTTTCTATTTTTGAAAAGTCTCATAGGAATGTAAATCAAATTCTTTTAGCCGTATGATCGACCGCTTTACCGACCCATCCTGCGGGTCAAACAGCCATTGAATGACAACTGCGACTCGTCCTCGTGGATATGTATATATATATATATATATATATATATATAATCGNATATATATATATATATACATATATATATATATATATATATATATATATGTGTGTGTGTGTGTATATAAATATACATGGAATACACATACGTACATGATATGTACATCGATGGAAGTTTACGGTATCGTTTCGTACATTGTATCGTGGTTGATTGTACTCCGTAATAGACATCCGCAGGGAAATCTAAACGCAACACGTCTGAAACACGTCGCAAAAGGCAGCCGGAAGAAATGTCGTTTCCTCCGATCATTTTTCAGCAAAAACATCTCAAGTTGGATACAAACGTCCAGAACGCGATCAAAGTTGATCGGGCCTCGCTTGTGCGTAAATTAAATTAATCTCTTCCTAGATCTGGTGATACACGGAAGAAAGTGCTGTATCGATAGAATTTGTCAACTGTGCCATACTTGAGGTGAATCGTCTTGATTCAATAATGATATTATTAAAATAATGCTCGCGCAAGTTATTAAAATATTGCACAATATTGCAACATATTAGTTTCAATAATATTTTTTGCCATTCAATCCAGAAATTTAGATCACGGCGCTGTTGATCAATTTTAATGATACAACAGCACTTTTCTCCCCGCAGAGTTGGGAAAAGTCGCCGGGATATCTAGGCAATCTCACGGATGTCCATTACAAACGTCTCAGACAGCGCAACGTCTAAGATCAAGTCATGAAACGTCTTTAACCCTTTCTGCCCGACTGATTCCAATTGTAATCACTAACTTTTAAGTTCCCTCACTGTAACTCTTGCCGTGCCCAAAGACAAACAAAATTGAAAGAAAAATTTTCTTTCACTTGCAAAAATAAATTCAAGTCAGAAAGGGTTAAAACCGTCTTTAACACGTCTTTCCTCGAAAAAACATTTTAAAAAACGCCTCATTACCGGACTTTAGACGTGTGCTGTCTGGGATTTGCGTTACTTCGTACGTTGTCCTTTGCGGGAGAAAGCTATTAATATTTGTCGCGACCTCGAATGGCCGGGAAGAAGCTTCGTTTGATGGGCAAGATTCGTTCGCCCGGCGCCGGCAGGGCCAACTTGGGCGCCGTGATGGTGAGGATACCGTCGGATGACAGGTTCGGCTGCAAACGGTCGATATCGTAGCCTCTGGGCAGCAGGTAGCGACGCATGAATTCTCTGGAGACGTAGCCGCGCCGATCCGGTTTATCCTTGTGCTTGGCCTCGATGGTGATGTACTTGTCGTCGGTGCGTACCGTGACCTCCTCGGGGGCGAACTGATGCACGTCCACGATCACCCGGTACCGGTCGTCGTTCTGCTCGACCGTGGTCATGCCGGCCACATCGCGGTCCAGGTCATCGAGCATGCTGCGCCACGGCCGGAAGAAGCTGCGGAACGACGGGAACGGCGGCATCCGCCACACATTGTCGTTGTAGAGGGTCAGCCGTTCGAAGTGCCTCTCGATGTCCCGGTGGTAGCGATCTATCTCGTTCCACCAATCGCGATACCAGTTGCTTCTCGGCACCAATGCCATGTTCTGTCAACTCTGCGGAAAAATCGGATCGATCAAGTTGTCTAATTAGCGTTTCACGGTTCACGCGAATAGAAGTTACAGCGATCTTTAGAAATTCAAAGGCGCCCNCCCCCCCCGCGCGAACGTGACGAGCCAGCAAATTTTCAAGCACTTCTGCGAACGTGAAGATTCCTCGTCCGCTGACTACCCTTACAAGAAAAGTATCATTGCCTATGATAAATCGGCCCATAATAAATTACAGTTGCTCAGTAATTTTATTATTTGTACAAGTAATAATGAAATTACCGGGCAACAATAATTTATCACCGGCCACAATTTATCACAGGCGGCAATACTTTTCCGTAAGAATACCCGGGATTTTTTTAGAAACGCGATGAATCCAATCAATAGTTACATGTCATAATTAAATAATCGATAACACCCGCGCGCAATGCAGCAGAACACGTACTTCGTCTGTATTCAAGCAATTACTCAAGCGTCCCCAACGATCGATATCAAGCAATGTCGAGTACGATCGACGCTTCGGAATTACCGGAGTAAAACTGCGCAATAGTCGCGCGTATGTAGCGCTGAGTCGAAGCGACGAGCACGAGCCGATTCGAATTGCACCTTGCGACTAACTGCGCGACACCGGCGACGCACCGATTTATATTTGGTTTGCCGCCTTTTGCGAGATCATTCCGACGCCATGGGTGCGCATGCGCGTGACTATCGCCGTGGAGAGATCGTTCTCGCCTGTTCGACGTTGCGCGACGATCCTTCTGGTAAGCGACTCTCGAGTAAACGACAACGTTCGCGCAAATCGGGATCTATTTCGAACGATTTACATAATTAATGACGCGAATTTTGGGACAAGATTTTACGTGTAATTCGATACGCTATGAAGTGCGGAGAACACTCGCGAAAGGTCGGAATTGTATCTATAAAGCATCAGGACATAACTTGTGCCGATGAAAAACAAAATTAAAAGAAAAAAACAATGCGTCATTAATCGAAAAATCGTCGGTAATTTAGTATATGTATTATTCTTATTTATAAATGCGATTTTTTTTTATTATCTTTATATAAATTTAAGTATCGTGTCACTTGCCACGTATGTAGTTCCGTAGTTCAAACTTAATTTTCCATGTTAGATACATAGATATATCATGCATTTTTAACAATATGTACCGAATAATATCAAATTAAATAAAACAAGAATATCCAATATTAAGCGTATCTATAACTTCGCATAAAAATACATACTGTACTGTTCTCGCAATTGCTGCCATTTATGTAGCAAATCTATTTTGAACAGAGTATTAGTTACGCCTCACTTGTTTTTATTGGCAAGTGGAGAATAGCCAAAAACAATCAACCTTACCAAATATCGCGTATGACATCAGCGCATACAACGCCAAATATGATTGTATTAATAGTCCACAATCCACGCTGTAGCGGAATTTTTATCATATGCGTGTATCACGTTACATAAAAATCTATTATCTTACATCTACAGCATCTTTAGATAACTAAGCTGTCGCTGTGATCGGCTGTAGAACTTTGTACGGGTTCAGGATGCCGTTTGGGTCCATCAGTTTCTTCAGATCGTGCATCATCTCGATCTCGGAGGGATTTCTGCTCAAGTGAAGGTACTTGGACTTCTTGAAGCCGATGCCGTGCTCGGCGCTGACGCTGCCTTTGTGCCCGGAGATGTACTCGAAGATGAACGGCTCCAGTTGCGCGGCCACGTCCTCGTAATATTCGGGTATGGAGACTTGCACGTGAATATTGCTGTCGCCTGAAAACAGAAAGGAAGTCTCTGTCTCTCGGAACTTTTGGACGTGTTTCAACAAGCGTTACATACCTATATGACCGTAACCGCTAATCCGGATAATTCGAGGATCGCGCAATCGTTTCCGCAGCACCTCAACGACCTCGTAATAAGATGAAAAAGGAAGGGAGATATCGTACTTGAAGACATAGCCGTCATGCAGGACGCCTTCACTGATCCTCTCTCTCAAGCTCCATATGTACTGCAAATTATAAACAGTTTTCTGGATATTGAGAGTTCCAAAGTGACACGAAATCCTTCAACGATTTCACTGGATTATCTTCCTAAAGGGGACCGGAAGTAATGTGTATGATCTATCTCAGTGACGTACTTGAACCTTCGTCGTTTCGTTAGTCAAAGTTCCATCTTCGATAATGCCCTGGTCCATCGCCTTCTCCACGAACAAAGAGAGTTTCTCCTCATCGTGCGCCAAATGACTGCCAGAAGTCTCTATGATCATGTAGAAGTCGTGACCTTTTTCACTCGTCAATGGATTTTTCATGCCCAAGTTACTAATAGGGACGTCCAAAGATATTCGATCCATCATCTCGCAGGAAGACAGGATCTCGCCTAATTCTTTTCTCGCCAGGTGATAGATTTCCAACACTTTATCGAAACTCGTGAGTCCTGCATAAGAATCACATAATTGATATATAATCTTTTCTTGAGAAAAGTGATCAAATCAAAGAAAAGTGATCGTGATCAAATACGCAGAGATCTATTTTAGGCCAATAATCTTTGAATTTTTCATATACACTTTTATATATATCATTTACGTACCCAAGAACGCAACGTTTACGGCCTTGGGCAATGGCGGACATTGTATGGCAACTTTTGTGACAATTCCTAGTGTTCCTTCCGAACCGATAAACAAGTGTTTCACGTGGTACCCGGTGTTGTTCTTCTTCAGGTTGTTCATCGCGTCAACAACATCGCCATTAGCCTTCACCTGAGTGAAAAACAAAAAGAATCGTTCCGTAACATTCTCAGATATTCAGATTTATTTTCAAAAAGCACTACAGCAAAAATATAAAAAAAAAAACGAAAATTAAATGCAAAATCTCTTAATTTAATTTGATCTAATTTAAAGACGATACAAATTAATGGCACCTCCTTTCTAATTTCTGAATATTCGTCGAGATTTAGACGATAATATTGTGTGACAAATTAAATATCAGAAATATTTATATCGTTAACTTCGACGCTAAGTTACGTAATGAAGGTTTTCGCAAATCGTGCTTGGACTCACGGCTTCGACACCTAGAACATTCCCATGAAGGTTGCCGTAACGCAGAAGTCGCAGGCCACCCGCATTAGTGGAGACGCAACCGCCGATCAAACAGCTGCCTTTAGCTCCAAGATCCAAGGGCATCATCAGCCCGACCGTGGCCAAATGCTCCTCCAGGTCCTGTAAAACGCAGCCAGCCTCGCATGTCACTAAACCTGATACCGAAAATGCATATGTACATGTATGTGTGCGTAAAAAACAGAAAAAACGGTTTCTTCTTTTGAAATTTCCTGTGTGTTAAGGATAACGAGGAATTAAATTTTTTAATTTTTATTTTGTAGCCCCTTTTATTATCCCACATTACATGTAGTCGGTCACAGAAAGTTTGCAACGCTTTCCTCTGATTCTCGTAACGTATCTCATATCACATAAGAAAATCCGTCATCTTTCTCAGGATCTTTTCTCTCCTTGCGATGCTCTCTCTCTTTCTCTCTCTCGCTCTCTTGCTTTTTTTATTTCTTCCATATGTCTCGGCCATAGCTCGTATTTCTTTGAACGTCCTATTATGGTCCTCTTATTCACGTTTTCCTTTTGTGACCCTACATTTTCCGCTTCATTTTAGCAACTCCTTCATCTGTTCTCCCATTGTCCCCTCATGTAATCCACCGTAATCTCATAGCCACTCATTTCTTCTCTAGGACCTTTTACCTTCAGTTATTTTCTTCGCGTTACCTGAATTTCATTAAATTTTCCGGCCCCTTTTTTTAAGACCCTCCCTTTAAGACCTCCCACTTTTAGCATTTTCTTCAGTCATTTCCTCTATCCCTCCATTCCTTTAGCTCCTCCTCCATTTCCATTGCCGATTTTATCGCTTTGTTCTTATTATTTATAGTAATGAAAAATGTACGAGGTCTGTACAATTTTAATCAATTTTAATTCATTTGTTTGTACGAACTTTCAGAAAATTATCTTAAAACATTCTTGATACACGTGAATATATCTTCCACATACCTGCCAAGTGATTTGTTTCCAGGATTTTATTCATGAGCTTCATAGAGATGACGATTTCATCGAATACAGGTGTGCTGCCTCCCACGAGACCGGTGTTACCGCTTTGTGGGCAGACCGCTAATCGCTTCTCATTGCAATATTTTAATATGGCCGACACCTCCTCGGTAGTTTTCGGTTTCAGTACTAACTGACTGCTACCTGAAATTACCATCAAATCGCTGTATAATTTGAAAAAAAGAATACCATATTTTTCTCGTGAGTTTTTATGTCTGCTTTATCTGTGAACGAAAACATTAACATATCGATATATATATTAAAAAGTGATTTCCCGTAAACAAAGATATATTATTATATTTATCTTTCTGTTATCTCGGATAATCGACGCTTTGCGTCATGATCTAAAATGTTTCATCAGCCGAGTAAATATTTCTTCCCTTCCGCGCTTCCCCAGTGAGACCTATGTGCGACCTTACCTCTCACGGTCTTGGGGAAGTCGATGTTGTAACTCTCACATTCCTCCGGATCCGTGATGATTCGATTAGAGTCGAGCAGGCCGTCGAAGAAGCGAACGTCGGCGGTCGAGATGGAGGCGTAAGGGCCGCGACGTACTTTGTACCGTATCGACGTTAGCTCCGGCTTTGCGTTGGACGCGTAGCAACGACGAGATAAACCCGCGATCCTCCCCGGTTGCCGAACGGTGTCGTTGCATCGTCGAACGAGAACGTTTATCGCCGTGCTACGCATGGCGTGACCTTAATTTTCGCCACGGTTCGAATTTGTTCTGTCGAAAAAAGAAAAAGGGGGATATCCTTAGTTACGATCCTTGCGTCACGAACTTTAGACGATCCATAACTCACGACAGAATTCTACCTGCGAGAGAAAATACGTGGCACTCGATACTTCGCTAACAAAAATATGTTGCACCGTATGGGCAGAGACTATGAAGAGCGTTCCTCAAGTCCGGATCTACGATAGGTGTAGTAAACTTTAAGAAATTGACCAATCACAGTCGAATTATGGGAGAATAATCAATTGTGATAGGTAAATTTTCTTAGGGCTTAAAACTTATTATAATTATTGTAGATTCGGGTTAACGTGGGAATTCTTCCTGTTGCTCGACGACACCGGCAAATTCGATTGCACAAAATCAAATATTGTCTTATACAAATACTCAAATAACCAGATTTAGCCGACGAGTGTCACAACTGACGTACTGATTTTTGTCGGTCACATATCTCGCACGAACATTAAAATTGAATTAGTGGAATTAGTTGGAAAATTGAAAAGTGAATTATTAGATTTTATTAGTTATATTGCCGTCCCGCAATCAATTTCGCTCACCCGCAAACCTTTAATCGCGCTAATCGACGTTTCAAGCAAATGTATGAGTCCTTGAAGAACTTTTGCTGGTCTTTTAGAAGTCAGCACTGGCCGCCTGATTTCTATATATACTCGGTTTCAAAACGAGTGAACGCTTGAACGCTTTTTTCAATGTTTTCAATACGCGCCGATGGTCTATTGAGAGAACTTAACGTTGGAAATTAATAAATAAAAGAAGTTCCAAACTGTATCGGAAAAAATATTCAAACTGCGAAATCAAGCGTGCTCGATCTTAAAACTGTCCTTGCTATTTCCAATATTTCCTTCGATGTTGTTGCTTGTTCTCGAATGTACGTTAAATTTGATTTTCAATCAACAACTCAAAGCTTTGTTCTGGCAACCGTCCGAAGAGATATTATCTATATCTGCGTACGGTTTTACAAATTGCAAACATCGGTTCGGTCTTAGGACTACCTTGATTTTCAGATAACAAGATCGGATCCGACCGTATTCTAATGCTTCTGCACGTGTGCTGCGTGGTTTGTCGTGCTTTCGTGAATCTTTCAAGCTAGTCTTCCGCAGCAACTGGTAGCGCAAGGTAAGTGGGACTGTACTATCTTGCCAGGTAATAGGCCTAATTCCCCCACTTAGCGCGATCTCCCGGTCGAATCCAACCTACCTTGTTATTAACGTCAGTTTTTCTCGATTAATTCATCTTATTTTGTTATTTCTTGGCAAAGCATTTATTATAAATTAACAAGAATCATTTTTAATTATTTTTTGGCCAATTAAAGAAAATCTGGTAACTCTCTCTCTCTCTCTCTCTCTCTCTCTCTCTTTCTTTTATTTTTATTTAATAACATTTTTCTCAAAGTTTCTTCTCTCTTTATCTCTTTTTTTATATTATTTTATCGTATATTTATATTATTTATATTATATTATTCTTACTTATATAAAGAAAACTAATAGTTTACGTATCCAAAAGATGAGTTCTAAGGTTTCCAAATAAATCTTGTAATGTATTCTACATATTTTGCGAAATATTTTATTTATCTTTAAATATTTCCTAACCTATCGTGAGATTAAAAAGTCTAGTGCCAGCCAAATTATTTGAAAAATTTACAAAACGCTTCTACCGGTCAGATCCGACTAACTTTGTTATGTATGGAACAGCATGAACCTTGTTATCTGAGAGTTAAGATAATATCCAGTCAATGAAATGTTTCTGGAGCAAACCGATTTGCAAAACCAAACGCAGCTTGTATGTTATTTTCATCTAAATAAAATCAAAATGTAATATTTTCTAATCCAACCGCACAGTTGGATCGCAGAGGACGATTTATCGACGCAGTAATACGTAGTAATTTGCAAGAGTCTGAAGCTACTGCCATCTTTAGGCCGATTGGCCAATCCCAGTGAACGCACAGCTGCTTATATCTCTTACCGACGCGACCAATTTTTTCATCAACTGCACCTGTTTTTGTTTAATGTGTCTGCAATAATCACGATCCTCGATAGATTCCACGATCTGTTTCCTTTTCGACTTCAGCCTGCGGTTATCGCGGTGTGACAGGCAGCCGGTGTGATACGACGAGTGAAACGCGTGACGGGACATTAATATGTCGATGCTGATTGCAAAACGACCGCCTGTCGCAACAGTGTCAGAAGAATTGGCCGTTAACATCCGTATCCATACCGGTGTGGCGGTGATTAAGGCGTGGCTATCTTGCAGGCTGCCTATTTATAGCTGGATGTGCATACGACAACGCGCCTTTCACGCGCGTGATCATGCGGAAAATGCAATTCATCATTCGATAAATTAACATAAAATCGCGCGCCAATTTCGCCGTGCGATCGACATAATGGCGTCTCCGAAGAAGCGATGTGATTTGCAGCCTACTTCGGACGATCCGTATGATTCGCCGGAGAATTCGACGCGGAATTGTATCTCCTAATTCTGTCGTGCGATATTATTGCGCGATATCGCGAAAATATTTTAAAAAATTTATATATATATTCGCATGATTGCACGCCAAGCATCCGCAAATATAAACCTGGCTCTTCATACGTTCTATGCAAACCTAATTTTGCGCCCTGAATTATCACGAATTGATATCGATTGTCTCTCTCAGACGGACTCAAATTTCAGGTGTAGATTTTGCTCCGATAAAATTGTAATTTGGGGGTTTAAAGGAGGATCTATTGGACGGTTCAAAGGATTCTGGCCACAAAATAAAATTGTTAATCTTACATATAAAGTTTCGAGTATGCGAGGTGTCCATCAGATCGCATATTAGTCATAAATTGTACAAAATAAGCGAAGTGTACATTATTCACGCTAGAGTACCGTCTAACGGGTACGTTTGCGTTCTCTGTAAGCTATATTGCAGAAACTCTGACCTTCAGCCGGAGGAACGACCCCTACGCGGAATACCAAGAATACGAAGGGACACTTGACTAGGGACAAATGTCATAAAACATACCGTTATTTCTCGAGAAAGTGAAGTCGCCCACGAAGGATAACAAGATCCTACTGTGTACATGATCTATGTGTGATCTCATAGTGACGAATCGCAAACGAATTAGATTACAGAGACATAATTTGAACAATTTTATTCTTAATCGAGACCACAGAACATGGACATGAGAACAGATTTTAAGATCGTTGAGAGATACAGGTGCCGATTGGCAAATGCTGCAAATTCATCCATATATCACAAATGTTCAAAAGACGACCTCCAGAGACGTCCCAGAGATACTCGATACATTTCTGAGACGTTTCTAAGATATTTTTTGAACATTCGCGCTATACCGATAATCTCACGTCGCGGAAATGCAACAATTTCTCACGCGATCGAGCGAGGCCCTGCGAAAATAATTTAAGAAATTTTCTTCTTCCTCTCGAACCCACCGTGCGCACATTAAAAATAGTGAAACACGATAAGACGGGTGAAGCGTGTTCTTCATATCTAAGCACATTATCTAATCACTATTCAATGAATCTCACTGTCCCCTCTCGATGTTACCGCCCTCTCGTTATCACAGTCTTCTGTATGTCATTGAAAATTCGTGAGATCAATTTCAAACGAACGTAAGCTCGACCGAACGCCGATCTTTCGACGATCCTCGGCGAAATTCAGCGCGAATGTGAACGCGCGCGCGTTTTCACCGGTGCGGCCGCGTGAACGTCGAAAAACGCGCACACTCGAAAGGTAACTCAACTTGCAGGAGATAAAATCTCGAGATTCCCCCGAGATTATTATCTCCTTACGAGATAATGATCGAGGTGCCGTATTTTTTCGTCGCGGCTCATCGAGACGTTCTCGTCGAAGAGTCGCGCGATTTATCGGGCCGCGCAAATTTCGCCGCCTTTTACCCGCGACGATTGCGCGCACGAGGTCAATGTCAATGCGTTGTACCCTCGCGAGTCGTCGTCGTGGAACGAATCGGCCTCAGGATTCGGGTTGACTAAACGAGACGCGCATCGGTGAGATGTCTCGATATTAATAATCAGTGGTTATCTCGCTCGAACACGCGTCATAAGCTGGTTTCCTCACATCGCGAATATTAATCGGCCCGTCGATTTTCAACATAGCCCGCTGCAATCGTCCACGTAATTAATCGGTCGCGATAAACGATCGTCTCTCTTTCCCTCTCTGTATCTCTTTCTATTCTTGTGGCGGCGATAACTCGACACCGCCAATTAGACGGCGCACAGTCGCGGTGCCATCGCCGCCGGGTCGCGAAAAAAGCGCATGGTTCATTAACAATATAATTTTAGCGCGGCCGGCCCGCCGGCATCACAGGTGGAAAATAGAAGCGGACGATCGATGGAACGCTTATCCAGCCGCTGAAATTTTAAATATCCAATCGATAATCCCGCCGCGCGGTCACTTAAAAGCGGCCAATCGGCGAGCGTAACTTGAGGTTGGCCGAATCCGAAGAAGAGAGCGCGTTTGACAGAGGAAGAAAGTGCCGGGGAGGCCGAGACGAAACTCGCTACTCATGGCGTGCGTGTGGTGGACGTTACCCGCCAGGATCGTTAAAATGCCATTAGGTCGACGAGAGGAAAAAGGCGGTGGACGATAGAAAGTCACGTTCGCCTAATGCTCGTGACGGATAATCTAAGGAAATATTCATCAGCGCGACGATAACTTAATGAGACGGCTCATTGTGAACATCAATCTAACGTCACCGACGAGGGGCCGGCTCGGCGTCGAAAGGGCGTATGTGTCGAAAATTATCGTACGTCGAGGTACACCGCGTAGATTCACACACTTGCCGATTTTTATCGTCTTTCGCACGAAGCCAGCGGTCGGGAGACCGTACAATTAAGTACCGTACCTGACGAGAAGACACGCCACTCTGCTTGAACATCGCGGAATAATTCGCAGTTACGGCGTAATCGTCGTTCGACGATCGCTTCGTGCGAAGAGGGTTCGCCGCTCTCCGAATACCCGATACCGAATCCGAGCTGGACGTACGGAGATCATGAATTTCCGTTTCGGCGACTGTGACGCGCCGAGAGGCGGTGATTCGGTATCGCGTAATTCGCGTGCGACTAATTAATATTAAACCGAGGGGTTAACGTGCTGGCAGAGATAAAGAGGAGGGCGGTCTTCCGTCGCTCCCGATACGACGTTGCAAATCGTGACTTTTTTTTACGACCAAGTAGCCGCCCCGGTGGCCTCGAGCGCGTTCTGACCCAACGGGGACCCNGGCCGCTTCCATTTTCTCGACGTTAATTCGAGGACCGATCGGACGGACATCGAATATATTATAATCTACAGCGAATCTTTCGATAGGGAGCCCTCCTACTCCTGCCCCCTCCCCGTGTGTATCACCGAACGATACGCGCCGGTATATTACCGTGGTGGAGGACAGTGTGGGGAAAAACAGGTCAGCGGAGAGGGGGCGGACGGGCGTGAGAAGGAGGAGATGGTAGAGAAGCCGCGGTAGAGAGGGCAGCGCGATGGACACTTCGGAGAGAAGAAGAAAGAGCGGTTGCAGGGTGGGAAGAGGGAAAACGCCGAGAGAAAGAGAGAAAGAGAGAGGGAGAGAGACCGAGAGGATACGCGGAGTGGGAAGGGAACCAATCGTCGGGACGACTTAACGCTGCGCGCGCGCGCGCGCGCGCGCGTGTGTGTGCTTCGCGCGGTACGCGCGATGGAAACCAACATGAACGCGAGCGGGCTCGCACACGACGCCCACGCGTGTACGTGACGCGCGCGCGCGCACACATGCATACGCGCGCAGGCGAATCCGCGCGCGCGCGTCCAATTCACGGACATCGACCGCGCATCGTCGTGTGTGGCGGCGACGGGCTATATCGAGGGTCGAGAAAGTATGCGACGCGAGGGAGCGAGAGAAAAGGAGTCACCGGGGATTGCAGGGCGCATGCGCAGTCGCAGGCCGACGCTGCGCGCCGGCCGCACAAGCCAGGCCAATTCCTCAGTGGCGGCCCGAATCATTAACTTGTTTCCCTAGCAACCTCGCGCAACCCACCCCATTGGTTGGGCCGCTTCCCCCACCGGCGCCCCCCCCCCCTTCCCGCTGCGTCGGTCGGACGGTTGATTGCACACAGACGCACGTCTACGGTATATCGCTGTGGCCGAAAGCCCCCATATTACTCGGCATACAGCATACTCGGGAGACTCTAGCGTCTGCCCCCGTCGCCCTTCGCCCCCTTTCCGCTGGCACGACCCCTGCTGGGCGCACGCACACATTTTCGAAGGGGAGACGCGCGCGCGTTCGTGCAGGGACTTGGTTACTGGGATTGGTGCAGCCGCGACTCTTCCTACCCTACGCGCGGTACGACTCTTCCTATCGTCCGCGCCTCGCGTCGAAATCCGAGACCGGTATTGGGAGATGAACGATAAATCGGTTGCGTTTCGCGCGTTGGCGCGGCTCCCCTTTCTCTTCCTTCTTTCCATTTTTGTTTTCGCTCAGCGCGCACAGGAAATTCCGACGAGGCGGAATCCCCCGCGTGGGCCGACTGCGCGCAGGGGGATTTTTAATCGACATTTCTATCAATGAGCGGGGCGTGCGTGGAGAGGTAAATCGCGCGCGAGGACGGACGCTGAAAATAAAACGGTGCGCTGCGCGAATGCAGGCTCGCTCGTCCGCTCACTCGCGTGATACGTTCTGTATTATTTCGTTCCCGCTTAAGATAGACGGGGGAAGAGTTTCAAGGGCCTCCGGCTTCGATCGCCGAAATCACGAGAGATCCTGCGCGTCCTTGATCCACGTGAGAATGGATCCTCCCCGCCTGAGGCGGGACGGGATGCGTTATGCATGGAGGTCTCGCGTCAAAATTGGAGCTTTCTTCGATGCCGACGAAAGCGTACTACACACGCCTCAAGGACGGAGGAGTTTGAATTTTCTTTTTCTTTCGAGATTCGCTCACGCACCGAAAGGTATTTCGAGGTGTATTTCGCATATGTCGATTGGACGGAAAATTTCTGCGAGAACGCGTCGAACCAATCGCATGTGGCTCGTGAGTTCCGAGTTTCGAACCGGGGAGCATAAACTCGGCTTAGAGACAGTTGCGCCAGGACCGTATCGTGCGCGCAGGCCCTTGGGTACTTAACTACACGCGAGTTTACGCAGTAGGTCAATATTACGTCACGATATTCTTATGAATGTGTGATATTGTTATGATATGTGCGTTATCTCGTAATAACTGGCATAATTGTATGATGTTACACTCAAAATATTTGTGTGTCATGTGTGAATTAAATATAGAGAAAATTGGGAAATTTTTAAAAGTCTATTTAGAAATTGGACATTAAAAAAGTACGACAAAAACGTGAGTAAAATATTGTGTGTTTGCGATCGATCCAATATTTTGAGGACACTACGACGTGAATAAAGTTTTATGAATAAAACGACTATAGATATGAATTTTTTTATATTGCATAAAACAAGCATCGTTACAAATATGTTGCATCCAGAAGCAATACGATAAATAAATGTTCGTCATGTAAATGACAGACAATCTGTGAAATATTTGCACGCAAACTTCTATCCATTTGGTATCTGCGAACTTTCATTTATATCTGTACCATCTTCTTGAAAAGGGGGATTATTTCCCAGCACGCCAAATAAATAACGCTCTCTCTCTCCTTCTATCCGCAAGCAGCTGGATCCAGAGAGTATGATGGAATTGGAAAGATAGGTTCAAGATTTCACATGAATTTTCAAGGATTTTCTATAAGTTTACAAAATATATGGGCAAGTATATATATTCAATCATTTTTTATGATTTATTTTAGTATTTAATTTTTATATATTCAATCCACAGAAAAGCATATCTTTATGTAATTATTTTAGCTAAGACTATACTTGTATATAGAAAAAAATACCAGATTCATGTAAATAATTAATCCAATATTCCTTAGCAAATTTTTATTTGGATCAATTAAATATTTTTCTTGGAAAATTGTTTACTAGGATCAAACAAATATTACTTATTTATATAATTATCTGAGCTTTGAGGAATTACGTGACCCATTAAGCACATTAAAAACCAATTCTAACATAAAAAACGAAAAGCTCATCCGAACATCCTGTTCGTGAAATCGTCGTTACGTAAAATTTCTGGTGTTGATTAACACTATTAGCAATTGATCTTGAACTATTCATGTCACAATAGTATTGATAATAATAATACGATGTAAGCTCTACGTTTTAAGCTCGTTCGTATTTCTCACTACAATAATAAACGTGTAGGACAATTCTCACATTTTGCTCGAATGTATAAGATTAATCCTTCGTATTTCTATAGGATATTAAATTTTGCAATTATATAATGCATAAAATAAGTATATATATATAAACATTTATATTATATTTTACACTTGTATTTATATTTGCAATTATATAATGCATAAAATAAGTATATAATGCATAAAATAAGTATAAGTATATATATATATATNTATATATATATATATATATATATATATATATTTATTTATTTATTTTATGTATTATATAATTGCAAAATTTAATATCCTATAGAGACGCGAAGAATTAATATATTCCTAGTAAAATATTTTCCAAGTAAATTATCCAAGTAAAATATTTAACTGATCCAAGTAAAAATTTGCTAAAGAATATTGGATTAATTATTTACTTGAATCTAGTATTTTTTTCTTATATACAAATGCTTAGCTAAAATAGTTACTTAAAGATATGCTCTTTTGTGGACTAAATACATAAATAACGTGAGCATATATGTGCTATATATATGGATATCATATTTGTATACGTTTACACAGCAATATAATAATTTAACAACAGTTTAATAATTCAATAAATTACAAGAATAAATTTACGCGAAGCAAATAATTACATAACATCGTTCAGCCCTCATGCGGAAACAAAAGTAACAGAACAAGTGAACGTCACTGCTGATCGTCAGCGTATCCACGTTGACGTCCTCCAAAATATTCCTCGGGAGATTCTCCCCGTGATACGCAAGATAAAGAGTTCCGGGGCGTTCGGGAAACTTGGCACGTCCCTACGTGGGACGTTATATCGTGAAGAACGACGCGGGATTCTACCGTCGTGTACGTATACGCTCGGCCATCGGTCGAATGTGTGCGTGAGTGAGCGCGAGCGACGGCCGCCACGAGCGCGGTGGGAGACGCGGAGGGAGAGATTCAGCCCGGAGTACCGTTAGTGAGCATGCGCCTATAGCCATCATATCCGATGGCCCCGCCTTTCTCGGTGCGAACGATGCCTTTGGGATTTGTCCCCGTCGAACCAATCAGCGGGCACGATCGACGCGGCGCGACGCGCAACTCTGGGCAAGCGGAGCGTGCGGGACGGGGGGAGTGGCTGGAAGGGATGGCGGCTCGGGGCTGTGCGGGTACGACGGGGGCAGTCGTGTTATACCGTGTGGGAGCAGCCAGCAGCAGCAACCAGCAGCAGTAGATACGGCAGCGGTATAAGCGAAGTGCTAACAAGTACTACGTACGAGACATCGTCGTCGTTTCCACGAGCGAACGTTATCGCGCGAGTTTGCAACGACGAAAGTGAAAAAAAAAAAAAAGCGACGAACGGAGGAATCGTGTTCTCATCGGGCACATAGTACTGGTAATTCAACCACTACCTACAACTACACACACACACACATATATCACTCGCGCAGCCGCACACATACATCTCCGGGAGAGCTTGAAAACGTGCATCATATAGACGTGACTGCGCAGTCGCCATGTGAGTACCTGAATAGGACGAGATGTCCGTGTAGGAGGCTTCTCCTCGACTCGTGGCGGTGTCGTCGTCGTGTCGTGGACCGTCGCGAGAGTGTACCCTAACCTACTACTACTACTTTTCGGTGTTCTGCGTATACTGTGTAGCGCACCCGTGAGAATTTCGTGAAAACTCAGTGCTCACACTGTAGATCACGGCACTGACGATGACAAGCCTCACCGAATGCGACGGTCCGTTGTTACGGCGCGACCCGACGCGTTGCTCGATGCACTGTACGTGTGTTCTACCTCCGTTCGTTCTGTTTCTTGTAGTTTCACTCGTGCTTTTCTGCTTTCTCTCGATCTATCTCTCTCTCTCTCTCTCTCTGGCTCTGCCTAGACTTTCCTCTCTTTCTCTCTCTCTCGCACACACCAGTCCCGCCGTTTCTCCGAACGTGCTTTATTTTGTAATCCAATATGTCGGCGTTACGAGACGCGCCGCCGTTGCTCCCGATTCGCACAAGATACTGACCAGACTGTACTGCCACTCGAATGCACGTGTGTGTGTATATTTATGTATGTATATGTCGTGCGTCCCTGCGTGCAACGTGTGCCATTTTATTTGGCGCACGGCAGCATGAGTGTTTCTCGTTCTCGAGCAGCGTCCCTTTTTCGCGCGATGCACCCGCGTGCTCTTGCGTATCGTTGTGTTGTGTTATTATTATTATTATTATACCATCCGCCGTAGTCGCCGTTTATATTGCCATTATGGCGAGAGATCCATGTCAGCCGCCCCTCTGGCACAGTTGTCCTCTCCCTTCTCTCTATTTTTCTTCCCCCTCTTATATCCCCTCTCCCCTCTGCTTCTTGCCAACCCGCCTTTTATCCCGCATTTCCCGCTCTCGATCCCTATGCCCTCTCTGCCTGCCCCCTGCTTCTCCCCCCTCCTCCTTTTTCCGCTCCCTCCGGCATCGTGGCACTAATTATGGTGGATATATCGGCCGAGGGCGACATTTTGTTCGTTCGTTCACACGCACGCAACGTACGCATGCACGCACATGCCAAAATGGATATCGTCGACGACGCACCGGGATCGATATTCGCGATGCTTTTTATTCGGGCGACGAGGCGTACAGAGCTCTACTTTACCGCGCGAGTTCCTCGGTGTCGGAAGTCTCGCGTTTTTTTTTCTCTCTTTCCCTTCTCTTTCTCCTCGTACCTCTTTCTCCCGCTTATCGTGCTTCTTCACGCTCTTTCTCTCTTATTTTTTTCCTTTCTCTCCGAAAGAAATTCCAAGCTTCAGGTATCGTTGATCCTACACTGAGTCAGATTTAGATTGAAACGCGCACTGATATATCTCATTCCGATTACACCATTGACGCGACTGCTATTAGGTCGAAAAATATTCGTTTGTTTTTTTTTCTAGATATTACGAATTTTATGCTGTGAAAAACAAAGATGAAACGAGCGAATAAAACTTTCGATCGGCCTGATGCCTCAAGTTTAAATAAATCATTTCTTCGAGATAAATATTAGGATTTCGAGTAAAGGAGATAAATATTTTTACGTAAGTTTGCGTTATTCCGGGAAAACAACTGATGAGTTCAAACAAAACTTATTCAATCTGACTTAATTTTGTATTCGCAATAATCACAATGGGAGGGCAAGAAAATAGATACAGATGCTGCTCAGATGTCGTTCGTGTCATGATCTCGCAAAAATATCCGAGAGCACTAATCATGATCATGTTATGAACGTGCACGCATCTCGTGTACGTGTGACGTTAATCGCACAATGATCTTTAAAAAGGTATCAAGCCGAAGTCACATGTATGACATCACGTTGTGATAAAACGCCGATCATCATCGCGCGTTTCTATCTAGGAAAGCAAACACAGAAGCTAAGAAATACTTTACGATATATCAAGTTCAATATGACGAAATATAACGATATCCTTGTCGCGTAACCGATATATACATATATAATGGAATTTCACAAAGTAAAGAATCGTCACGTGAGCTCGTGTGTTCGCAGGAAGCTCTCACGTACCCCTCACATTCAAGGCAATCGTTGACACGATTGATACGATTTGCTTCCGACGACTCACAATGGAATAGCCGCACAATAAACGCATAACCTATAAACGGTGTTTCGTTAGTTACTCAATTCCCGCTTTAACGATTGAGCCGGGACAATGCTTCTCACCGATAACGACACTCGATCGAGGTTCAGGTACCGAATGCGATATTAAATGAGCGAATTACCGAATATCGGGCAGATCGATAAAACCATATGCCCGTTCCCCGTCGTGTGCACCGTAGTTACGCGCATACAACTATCTCGTTCACGTACGTTCGTTGATTCAAGCGACGCCAATAAGAATGCCGCAAAACGAGCCGTTGATTGTTTTTGAGGGACTTACTCGGTTATGCCGAACGATAGTCCTCACGGACGCTGTCGCGAAGAAATGTGCGGCACGGTATACTCCACTCTCACGGGCAGCGGCACAATAACCTCGCTAGTGACGATTATTTCGAGTTCAGCTCTCTCCACAATATGACAAGTGTGCGAATTCATATCTGTGAAGGTTATCACATGTGGTCGCATGTATCGTATAAAGGCCACTTCATACTTTTTTGCGATTTAACTATGAACTGAATTCTAGAAATATTCATATTTGTTATCACACGTAAATATAAATAATATCACGTACCAGAGGAGGGAGGAGCAATGTGTTCTCGTATTTTAGCAATGGCACAGGTATATACAGTTGAAGAACTATTAAAGTGCTTAGATCAGCCTCAAATTTCAATTTTTTTTTATTTAGAAAAAAAATTACTGACAAAACTGCCACCATTGATGCCTCGGTGCAAAGTAAAAGATCTAATTTTGTAGAAATACGGATTTTAGGTTGAATAAATATTGCATATTTATAAAGTTTTGCGTTATATATGAAAAAAAAATATATATATATATATATGAGAATTAACTTTTTTCACTTGTATATTCACTTCGTTTTGCAGGGGCAACACGATGAAAAGATTGAAACCAACGTGAATATATATGTAAAATGACAACAAAAGGGAACTATATTTAACTGAGCAGTATCAGCAGAAGATACTTCTTTTTCTGAAAGAGTGTCTATACTCTAAATTTAAAAGGGCATACAAGAAAACATGACAGATGTTAAACCAATTGGAATTTCGTCGTCACCACAACAACAACCGCAACAGCAACAGCCACAACAACCGCCAACTCCACAGCAAATGATGCTCGCTACCCATGAATTACAGCAGCAACAACAGAATGTACAACAGTCACAGCAACCGCAGCAACATGTGCAGCAGCAGCAACAACCTCAGCAAGTACAACAGCAGCCACAACAAGTGCAGCAGCAAGTGCAGCAGCAACAGCAGATACAACAGCAAGTTCAGTCGCAGCAGCAAATGCAAGTTCAGCAGCAAGTACAACAACAGGTGCAGCAGCAGGTCCAGCAGCAACAGCAGCAGCAACAACAACAGCAGCAGCAGCAAACACAGCAAAGTAACGGACAGCACAATGTTGTTCCTACTCAAGTTCAAGTGCAGCCACAGGTAGCTGCTAGCATGCCGCAACAACAGGTACATTTTCTCTTTATTGTATCGTTTATTATGTTTTATACAAGATATGTGACACAAGTCGTGCCAGACCGTCATGTACTTCTTGTAGTTTAGGTCAATATAAACAAAAAAGTCCCGTACCATTTTATTCTTATCGACCTGAGCTACAAGTATGTGACGAGTGACACGGTTATGTCAGACACCCTATATATATATATATATATATATA